GAATACGTTGCTTCATTAAAGTTCCGAACAGCTCATGCCACGTTCTTTATATAATCTGGCATCTCCCCCATGTGTGTGTAGCCCGAAATCTGCGAGGATTCTTCGGAGTGCTTCTGGATTCGTCTTAACTTCTCAGACCTCGGGACACGGTCGCCAGAAAATGAACTTCCTGGTTATCTGAATGATGCTTCGGCCGTCCTGAGCCTATCTGAACGGAGGCTGACAAGTGGATTTGTTTTTTTTTGACTTGCAGCTGCAGGATTGAAACAGGCTCAGAAGAGCCAGTCTAGCCAGCTCTGACGAGGACGTGGGTGGCGCACGTAGGGCGTGACGACTCCAACCATGCAGGCTGGCAAAGGCTCGCGAGCTGCCGACATTCGCATTGCGGAACGCCACTTCCTCTCGCAATCCATCGTGACATCGTGGAAGGGACGGCAGTGCAGGGCATAGTCGTCCTCCAGACCGCGGGTAGCGGACTTCCAATTGAGGAGCTCCTTCCTGTAGCCCATGTAAGCCTTCACAAACTCCATGTGTGCCATTTCGTAGGCCTCTGCATTGGCTGCCATGTTCTTGAGCTCTTCGGCGGACAGCACATTCGCCTTATCAACTTGGCTCATGACGTCCTGGCTTCCAAGGTACAGCTGCGGCCGGAGCTGCGTGTCTGCTTGAAGGCGCTGCATGCGCTTGTCCAGGGCAGCCTGCTTGTCCTCGTCTTCCGGCAGTGAGGACATGTTGCAAACCTGGCCCTGACGGTTGTAGCATCTTGGTGGCGCTTCCTCCTTCGCTTCGAATGCACTGTAATGGTGCAGGAAGCCTTGCGAGGCTCTCCCGTGCAGCGGGGCGGGGCGGGACCGTATCCGCTGCGACCAGATCGCCTCCGCCCCCAAGCCACATGACAACAGCCCTGGCATGCTTCGCCGCGCTGGGCAGCTCTGCTCTGTTAAACTCAGCTCAACATGACTGTGAGAAGAAGATCACCATCCAAACACTGTGAGGATCCCAATGCAGCTTTAACCAACGGGCCAAGCGACAACCCCCTTGTAATAGCTGAATTGGGCCACTGGTGCTACTCACGTTCTGACCACTAGAGCTTACAAAAATCGCACGTGCGTAAACCATGGAGACATCAAATATGCAAACTTAAACCTATCCGAGACTTGTTGAGGTGGCCGAGTAAGC